AAATATTAGACTAAGGTTGCAGTATTCGAATTTTGAAAGTTTCTAGCGTAGCTTCAAAGAATACATTATAATTGAAGTATAACATGAAAAGAAAATCAAAATTACGCAGAAAAGATTTTTTTTAGAAGTATCTGAAAATTTAGGTAGATACCTAAATAGATACAGATCTGTAAAATAATTTGCTAGACCATCAAAGTAATTATGTAACTAGTTGCTAGAAAGTTGACATTTTTTGCAATACATTGCTCATTATGTTTGAGATTGTCACGTAATTATCTAAGTGATTAAAACAAAATTATCAGATCTGTATTTATAGCTAAATTTTTTATATCAGCAAAATCATTCTTTTCGTGTAAAAATTACACATATTTTCTTTTCTAATAAAAAAAACATTATTTTAATTGAGAATTTAAAAAGAGTCCTGAAAAATTGCTAATTTTAAAATGTGTAATTTTTTTATCAATGCAATGATATGACTTTTGATAATACATAGATAAGAGCAATAATAAAATAGATAATGCCAGGTAATATTCTGAACAAACAGTTTATATAATACAAAATATTCTGAAATTCTATTTTATAATACAAAATATTATGAATAAGCAGATCCAATTATAATTTCATTATATAGTCCAATATTAATTATATTCTGAAGAGGGCTACAACGAAATGTGAAAAGAGGAGTATACAAGGGTATAAAGAGTACTTAAGCGTTTTTGCAATATTTGTTTAAATAAATAATTTGTAAATAGTCACTCAATGATATCATAAATTGTCAAGAACAAGATTCGTTGGTGTTTGAATAAGTATCGTTTTATTAATATCTCTCTTATTATTTACAAAACTTTATAATAATCTCTAGCTGATTTTCTCACCACGACACACTACTCACTATCGTCAATTCTATACTTTTTTTTTTGTTTTGCGTAATCGTTATACTGTAATGCTCGATAATGCTCATCCTCTAAATCATTTATGTATAATGAACGTCGCTCGATTTAGAAATTCGTTGTCGACATGCGCGCGACACACTTCCATCTCTCTTCGCACCACACAACGTCGCTTATAACAAACGTGTATTTACAATATAAGTATCATTTACAATTGAACGTGCGAAATCGTAAACTTGTTCTAAGATCCTCACTCGCGACGCGAACGCGCGGAACGCTCGTCGAATTTCAAAAACGCTTCGATCCCGTCCCTCGCGTTTTCTCGCAATTTCTTTCACTGTTCCACTTCGTTTTCTTTTCGCCGAAAAGGAAAGCTTCGAGAGCTCTCTCTTTCTTTCTCGCGAATAAAATCGCATTACTAATCGGTAGAGGTAAAGTCATCTCAATGAATCGACATCTCGATAAATCGTGAGTTTTAACAGAAAAAAGAAAACAGTTAAAGGGATTTTACTATACTTGTTTAATCCTCTATAAACGGATTTCTTTTGCTTATGAAAAAAATTAAACTGAAACAAACGATGCTGTATTAACAGTACTGTTCTGATAACTGATAATAACTTTGATAATTAATTCAATAACTCTATTAACTCCTAAACGCCTTTTCGATAGCATATCTGTAATAGCTTTTTTCACTGCTCTCTTCTAACATTTTTGTTAATAAAGAAAAAAAATGCACATTTACTTGATAAATATTCACAAGAAATTAATTTTGGAAAAGAAGAAAGAATTGGAGGTGAAAGTTACAGAAAGATTTTCTGAAAATCTAAGACGGCTAGTGTTATAAATTTAAGATTTTTCCAGTTTGAAGAATTAGTTTATAATTTTAAGAAAAAAAATATAGTAAATTAATAATTTTGTGATTTACCTGTGCCAGCAATTAATTAAAAATAATATAAAACGAAACAATTTCAATAATCTATATTACTCGACTATTCTCCCTTCCTCCTCGAGTTGAAGAGTCTCAAATTTAATTTATCCCTTCCTCCAAATAAATTCTTAACTACGTTTATGGTTGGGAATATCCACTCTAATATTCACTGCCAATGCTGAAAATCTATGCATACAACGTATACTAGATTTTCAGTATTGGCAGTGAACATCGGAACGCAGCCCGAGTGTGTGTTCTCTTATAGCGTTTTCGAGTACAGTGGGGGTTGAATCAACCCAGATCTGTTAACTCGAAAGTACCATGACCTCGTCCAATCAGAAACCAAAGTAGAGCACATGACGTCACTACCTGGGTTGAATTCAAACCCACACTGCACTTGAAAACGCTATTCACGTGGCGTTTAAAAGTCAATAAAACTAGTACATCCCTTACTGCTAATAAAATGTCATTTGTTTCATAAAAGGAATATATTAATTTTAAAATTGAAATTTATAATTAACAATCTTAATAATTTAAGATTAAAGAGATACGGGTTGTAACTTCCAAGTCATTTGGCGCTATAGAGGATTAACTTACATATCTGTTTGACGGAATTTGACGGAAAATAAAATCGTTATCTCTCTCTCTCTCTCTCTCTCTCTCTTCATACGTTCAGATTGGCGAGGTTCTGGCGTAACATAAAAATGCCATATATGCATATAGATATACAATATCGCGGATAAAATAATACACGTCAACGTAGCGACATATCTATACACATATATGCGCGGGTATATTGTATTCGCGCGCGACAATGCAGCAAAATCTGTCGCGTAAATACACGGGGCGCGCGCGACGCCGGGAATTTCGTCGAACGTTTGACAAACGTGCACATTGTCTGGAAGCGACTTTTCCGCGCGACAATGTCGCTCGCGAGAGAGCGTGTCTCGGATGTCGCGCTGTCGGTGAAATCGAGTCACAATCACGCCGACGCCAGTGTACTATTTCGTAATTCGAATCGACGGATTTCCAATCCATCGAGTGGACACCCGGGCCAACGATAATTTCGCGAGCGAACAATCCGTTTCGGCTGTGCCGTGGGTGTGCTCGATTGTAGCACGGCGCGGCCGTGTTTTGTTTCCCAGCGCGCCGCGCGGCGCTTTACAATGTCGTTTATTTCGCGCACCGGCGAGCGATATCCTCCGCAAATCACCGAAATTCGAATATATACGAGCTTCCCCCGATTCTACAAAAACTAGAACGCTTTTCTCTCCCGGCCGGAAAATATTTTTCTGCATACGTTTTACGAAAAATAGGTGTGTGTACTTTAACGTCGGCGTTGACGCTAATAAAAGTTGATTATTTTTACATGAAGAGATCATGAATTCGTATATATATATATATATATATATATATAATTCTTTTTATTATATTCTCTATTTTCGAAACGCTAAAGTTTAAATACATCGCGGGGTGTATAATACTATATATTAAAAATAGTTTTAAAAAGTATAAATACAAGTTAAATAGATTTTTTTGATTCAGAAAAAATCCGAGAATGCCGTTCGCACAAAAATGTGTTATCTCGCTCGCAGGTTTTAAAAATACGGTGATTTCGGACAAAGTGAGATTGAAACGCGTTACTGAACCTTTTGAATGCAGACGGTATTTCTTCTTCGAGAAGTACGAACGTGTCTCTTTCTCGATATTCCGATAGTCGTCTCCGACTATGATATGGATCGCGTCGCGAGCATCATTCGATGATGATCGTTGATCGAGACTCGAGGGAAGTGAACCCTGGATCGGTAAAAAGTTTTACAACACGCGTCTCTTTTCGCGATGCAACTCCGCCGCGGAGCCGCCATTTCACGTAAAACGTGCAAAATGCGCGGTGGCTTCGTTCGGTTCGACGTGTGCACTCACGGATCGATTTACGCGATGACAGATGTAAAATCACGGTGACGGTTACTATAGCGATGCACGATGATCCCGATTCGAGGGTTCTCATCGTAATATCACCCTTGGCTGGCCCGTTTTCAACCGCGAGCGCGTACTACTGACCGTAGGCGGTCGCTAATTATCACACTAACAGTCCTTACAGTCACCGAGCATATACCCATCGATTGTCGATTGCCGTAACGTCCCAAACAAAGTCCATAATCGGGACACAAGATGCCTCAAGCCAGTTCCGACAGTCAATGGCTGCGTTCAGCAGGGGAAACTATAATCAGTTAGCGCTTACCGATTCTTTCTCTGTAATTGGTTCTTGCGATCCAAGTGTAGGAACCAATCATATTAAAGAATCACTAAGTGTTATAACTGATTAGTTTTCTCCGCCGAACGCAGCCGTTCAAAAACGTCAAAGTGCTGCCGTAAGAAACGATCGACTTGCGACTAATTTTGTAGAACCAGTTTTATGTGAAGACGAAAACGTGTATTTCTCAATTTTCCGATTTCTTATATAAGACCTCTATAAGACGATTTTCGTAAAAATGTTTTTAAGATGTCTTTTATGGACGTCTTATGTCTCAATTTTGGATTTTCGTTATTTGGGATCATGTTTTTCTTATCGGGCAGCGTGTTACCAGGCTATGTATGGATACACTTCAGCACGGAGGAAAGAAACAGGAGACCGTCCTTTTTGGTGTGTAGCCACGTAAGCACCGGTGACGGTTTATGCTGGGAATCTTTCCTTAAAGCAGATACGTAGAAAGAGAGAGCGGTCTCGCTCGCGCAATCTCGAACGACCCGCGACGGATCAGCCGCGCGACTAGAGAGCCTCCTAAAGGGAGAATGATGACTACTCCGAGCACGAAATACTCGAGCCGATCACAAATCCCGCGCTCCTATAAGAATTATCTCGGTCCATCTCACAGAGCTCACAGAGAATCACATACGACTCTCTTCCTTTAGACTCTCTAGCGACCGCGCAAGAGCGGCGGAGACGAGGCTCCAGGTTCATCCCGCGAGCCGTCATTCCGTTGATGGTAGCCGCAGGCGCGGCCCCGTTTCGCGCGTCGAGCACGATTCGATTTAACGATCCGCGTATTCTCATTTCCCTCCCTCTCTTAAGGACTGTCGTCGGGTATGGCGTACCAGGCAGCTGGATCCGCGGCGAGGGCCCATGGGCCTGCGACGGAGGGATTGGCGTAGGCCGCGGCCCCCGCCGCGGATGGCGCGCACTACCAGGCTCGACCCTGCAACGGTAGATACGCGCCGCACTGCGGCTGCTGTTGCTGCTGCATACCCTGCTGCGCGGCGGACCGCGTGTACGAGCAGTGCTGCAGGCTCTGGCTCGAGCTCATGACGTGGCTGACGCCGGCAACGACCGAGTGATGGGAGACCGAGGAGGCCGCCGCGTGATGAGTGCCATGGGGACTCGAGGCCGCCGTCATGTGCGGCGCCGGACTCGCCAGGGCCGCGCTGGGCCCGCCGCGGCTACCCTCGTTCCCGCCGCCGCCGCCGCTCCCGCACGGCTTCCCGTCCTTCACCAGCACCGGTACCGCCACCCGTCGCGGCGAGCTCGCACTCTGGAACAAACGTATCATTGCTTCTTGATGCGACGTGTACAGATGAGGACGCGAATTGCAAAATATATATATCTACATAAATTATATTCAATCATAATCGATTACGAAAAAGTTACACGACACTAATCAGAATTATTATTTTTGTATAACGTACGCTAGTTAAACTTAACAAATTTTAATTGATCGCATAACTTTTCTAAGATTTGGGTTTTCCGAAATTCCGACTGTCATGAGGAAGCACCCTAAGTTTTCTGCCTTGAAATCTCATTATTATGGACGCCGCTTTATAGAACGTCGCGGACTCGGAAACTGATTCAGCCGAGCGATCGTTTGATCTGTAGAATATGTTATCGTAATCAGATCCTATATTTTATTTATTATATAAATTACGTGTAGCATAGCGCTAGCTTTTGAACATCAGAACGATTTGACAGAAAACGTGTTTCGGAAAATATCAAATCAAAAATTCTCGCGCGATAGTAATCGACGAGACGACGATCGCACGATGCGAACATTTAAGCGCGCGGATATTAATCTTAACTCATATAATATTTACTTATCTGTGATATCAATTGTCGTAAGACGCATATAGTATACATGTTATTTATTACTTCAATATCCAATTAGACACGGAAGTCAGCTAGGAGCAACAGGTGTAGCGTCGCCGACGACGTGCGACAGGTATACGTGTGAAATTATCCGCGCGATATTCGCGAATCTCATCCGCCATTAGGGAGGGTCGTGATAATTCTAGTCCGGTTTTACGAAACGTCGATCGGTAGACGTCGTGACTTCGTACAATCGAATTCTTTCCGGAACGTGACAAATACACTTTCCGTGCGTAAAGTGTATATTTAATGATCGTGAGTACCGTGAAAAGTATATACAGATCGTTGCGATCGTAATTAATCTTGCCTCTGCGAGTGTATTGTGCAAGAGTGTAGAAGAAGGCGCAGAGAAGCTGAGAGGAGGCGGAGACTTAAAAGCGTAGGGCAACGGCGGGGCAACCACAGGTATAATGTTTTTTATTTGTTCGTTACTTGCGCGATGTTAATTGTTTGTCACCCAGTGTGTTACGTGTATATCATTTTAAATGATAATAACATAAAATTATTATAAATAATAGTTAATGTAAGGCTCCATAAGTATGAAACAATTAAAATAATAAAGGTCAAAGAGCCGATAAAATTATTAATAAAGAAAACTGTAATTTTACTGAAGTATCTAAAAGTTTAACTGGACACAAATCTGAGAAGAATTTTGTTCGGCCATTAAATAATTATGTATAACGCTTAATCTAATTGCTAGAACATCAAACATTTTTGCAATATTGCTCATCACGCTTGAAATTCCTATGTGATTATATTTTGAAATTTTAATGGTTCACAACAAAATGATTTGTACATGTAGTCAAATTTTTTAAATACTTCAGTAAAATTGTTCTTTACGAGTAAATGTTTATTGTTCTACAATATTTAAAGATTAAAATATTAGAAAATTAAAATTAAAAAATATTTTACACTTTCAAAATCATATAATTTTCTTTATTTATGTGCTATTTGCAATGTTAGTTTCTCTACAGTTGCATAGCATATTCCATATAATTTTGCATTATAATAAAATGCATATTAAATATTTTTTATTTTGAGATACTTAAAATATTCAAGATATATTAAACATAATATTCTACATATATTTATAATACTTTTAATGTCTTTAAGATTTAGAATCGTGAAGATTATTTTAAAAAAAGGATTAAAAAATCACAAAGTTTATCTCTTCAATTAAAAATAAGATAACAATAAAAGTATTAATATAATAATAAAAGTTTAGATACAACAATTTTTCTGTAAAGTTTTATATATGTATATAATTGTCTTGATAAATATTTATTTAAAACATGAGTAAAATATTATTTATCTCACAATAATTCACTCTTGAAAATGATTAATTATCTCGGGCATTACTCCAATTCGGATAACTATTTTTGTTTACAGGTTATATACAGATAATAAACTCCGTTGCTGCGCATCGTGCCGATGAGTTCGACAAATCATATTTATTCAATCGGAACAAAAGTTTGTAGCGTTATGAACTTCAAACTTTAAGTAGATATAACTTAGTTAAAAATCAACGAAATTTAAATAAAAAAAGAATTTTAAAACTTAAATCTTTACTTTTCGAAGGTCACATGTTTTTTGAATTTCTACAAAGTTAGGTAGATGATTTTCGCAGATAGAAAATTGGATGAAATGAGAAATTTTCTTCTCATTTGTAAGTTTGTCCATTAAAAAAAAATTTTTAATTTTTCAACTGTCTATTGTAACAACTGAAAGTTTTCCCTCTACGAAATAGTTTTTTAAAATGTTCCTAAGATACTAAATTATTCCGGATTGGATAAAAGAAGCATTTTGACTTTGATTGTTCATAATTCCGTTAAAAATCATCTTATCGTAATTCAAAAAATAGATTCTTAAAATTGAAACTTTGCTTTATCGAATGTTATAATTACTAATATTTTTAAAAAAAACATGATATAAGTGAAATGGCGCTATAAAATTCTTCGTTTCAACCCATATTTCAATTTGAGGTAGGATTTATTGTACTCTCTAAATCTGAATCAATGGATAATCACTGCATGATATGGCATGTTCACTGCATGAATCAGTATAAATTCACAGTGAAATTCAACTGAAAAATCGATAAAATGTAGAATCCTTAATCTAGCTAACCTCGCTTTAATGTATAAATTCAATGAATATGATATCGGAGCTGACGTGCAATAAAGTAAAATATCGGTATTTTAATTACATGATGCTCAAACTTCCTTTCTTTTTCAGTCGAATTTCACTGATTCAGAGAGTATATATAATATAAATTGATTTCAAGAGTATAAATTCTATCTAAGCGAATCCATCGCCTCGAAACGGATATTCACCAAGTATTCGTTTTGCGGCCTTTTTAAACGGACCTTTGTGTGCTCATGCGCACCGGCTACCGATCGTCTCCGGTGGATTATCGAAACGCCACCGTTTGCCAAAGTTTCTTAGTACAAGTGTACGCACTTTAAGCGCGCACACATGTACCGTGCAATTTCCCAGCTCGACGAACGCTGCGTCGAACAAACGCGGGATACGTATAGCCTGGCGAGGACTTGAGCTGAGCGCTTCTGTGTTCCGAGTAAACATGCGCAGCGCGGTAGGCCCGGTAAGACACTTAACCCGCACGATATCCCGCGATCAGCATTCACTGCTAGACGAAGCACACGATGGACTCTCTCGTTACGAATAAACAGTACTGGCTACCGTAAACTTGGCCCACGTAGTCCCGTAGCATAAAATCTTCCCAATCTAGAAATTGTGAATCCATGAAGCAGAGTTCTCTTTATATATGTATAATATGTAGAAAATATATACTTCAAGTTTATATATTTTACAATCGAAGAGAGGAAGGCGATCTTTCTCATATTTCTTTAATTTGTATTAAATTCGTAATTTTTAAATAAATAACAATCTTTCTTCTGTCAATTTACATTTCAAATTTGCATCTTTAATTAGGAGCAATCCTTCACATATTTTCTTAATTTTTATCAACCTGTTAATTCTTAGATAAATTAATAATCTTTCTCGTTATACTTTACATATTAATTGACAATAATTTTTCTTCTGTTGGTTTATATTTCAAATTTGCCTCTTTAATTGACAGCAATCCTTCACATAATATGTTTCCTTAATTTTTATGAACTTAGTAATTCTCATAGACAAATTAATCTTTCTTTAATCTGTAGGTTAATTAATAAGTTTTCTGTTATCAATTTACATTTTAATTTCTGCTTTATTGACATAAAGCTGTGCGGAGAATAGAAGAATTCTGAACTTTGTTATAAACTCGATTAAAAATTCAAGACTGCGACATGTTAATTCGAGAGAAATCACGTTTCCTATTCGCACAAGAGATCCGTGGGTGTAGAGACAGCCCTGTCCTGTACGTCAACCCCACGAACCTCACGGCATACCAAACAGAAGCCGGAGTAAGCAGACCGAATACCTGCCAGAACGACCACTCAGCTGTATCAACATTCGGTACACGACATTCCTCTTCGATCTCTTCGCCAGTGAGACTTTAATAATACGATTGCGCTGAAAAATAACGTCCTCCGCTCGCCTGATGTTCGTGATTTCTTAGTAATCAGTGTCATCTGCGTGAATTTTTTCAATTTCATTTATCCAATCATCTTGTTACACAATCATTTCCCTCTACTGTGGTTAGATCGACCGCAATCTTTTAGAAATTTAATAATAATTCTGTATTAAAAAATGTCGGTGTAGATTTAACACCAACATATGATGTGTAAATTTATAATACATTTCAAAGGAGGAAAAAGATGGATTTACAGCTCCTGGTGTTAATATCAACATCATCGTGGTGTGTGAATTAAAAATGATGTTAAATCTACGATATTATTAGGAATGTTACTTTCTGTTGTCAAAAAAACAATGTATTATCAAGGAGAAAAAAAAATATATATATATATAATAAATCCTATATTCGGAGGCGAATGAGAGTGCCGCGTTGTTGTTGATACGCCAATCAATAAACTTGGATATATAAAATCCTTTATTCAAAATTACATGAATTTAATACGTTTCGACTCTTTTTTGAGTCATCTTCAGTTATATCATATACGCTCCAATTGAATATCGAAGTAAGTCACATCGAATTGATAGATTTGATGTTCTTAAGTCTAAAGAGAAAAAATTAACATTAAATAAAAGATCTCAGTTAAAACCAAAGCACAGTGACTCACCTAACGAGATTCAATATGAAGAAAAAAACGCAAACACAAGTAAAATCGCAAAACCATGGATCGCCAAAAAAGAGTCGAAACATATTAAATTCATGTAATTTTGAATAAAGGATTTTATATATCCAAGTTTATTGATTGGCGTATCAACAACAACGCGGCACTCTCATTCGCCTCCGAATATAGGATTTCTTGT